GATTACCGTAAACACTCTAATAGAACGCCACCCGGACTATTCACTTCGAGCTTATGTATCTCATTTACTGTAAGAGGAATCAAAAAGTGGTCAACTGATGAAATATTGCTGATATCATGATAAACATTTTACCAGTTTATATCTTTTTGATATCTTTCAGAAGAAGTGAGATACATAAGCTCAAAGTAGACGGTCCGGGTGGCGTTCTATTATAGTGTTTACGGTAATTTCTTTTCCTGAACAAAACAAAGCAATGAAGCATTTACCGTACACCACTTTAACTTGTTTACCAGATTCAATCGACCCCATTAATTTAATGTAACTGATAAGGAAACTTGATATCAGTTCCACTAATGCGGATCCGTAACATTATTTTAGGGGCGTTTTTGTAAGAATTTAATAGTTTGATGTAACGATAAAAATGTGGATGAAGATTATCAATGATATTCAATTTGAATCACTTTTTTAGTTTTTTTTCATCAGCATAAGTGCTGGATTAAATATAAAAACGTATATTAAGAACATCATTCGTGTGATCTACTAGAGTATTATGCGCACATGGGAACGAAATTTCGAATCATAACTGGGGCAAAAAGCGGGGGACCATAAGTGTTTCAGGAACTTTAATTTTCAAAATTGAACTAATAACAAATATTTTACAGAAATTTAGACGTTCGTGTTGTTGACAGCGGTAATTAAGTGAAAAAATAAATAGTGTTTACTTTTCAGACAATTGATTAAATTATCTTTTTTTTTGCTCCGTTTCCAACTTAAAATGTCATTGCTAAACGCTCGCTCTCTCGGAATCATACAAAGAAAATTTACCTGATCTCAGACATTGTACGCTTTTAAGCCATTCAGATTTTTCCATTTTTCTTCCCAGACCACCATCAACTGGAAGTTTCATGGTGGTTCTCCTCGAGTAGCAAACAAAAAAGTTCTTTGCATCCAATGTATACAATTTACAAGTCCATGGAAAAGAAGATACTTTTCGAACATCCTTTCACTTAGCATTTTTTGCATTTCTTTTGTTTTCTTTGTGAACCCTTACTCCTAGCCAAATTCAATTCAGTATGTCCACATCTTCTTTGAAACAGGTTGAATAGAATTTTCGTTCCATGGTTCCACTTGTGCCTAACCGTTGAGTACGCTCAACGGAGAGATCAATGGAAACAAGGAGAGCGGTATCTTGAAAACCAGTTCTCGATTGAAACTGATTAATGATAATACGAAGCCAACGATCAGAGGTTCTAAAAAAAGATTTACCCTATACAATCCTCATGAAGTAAATGAAAATCCAAATATTTTACCCATCAAACATTTTACCCATCAAACACATCCAACTATCAATTTTATTATTACAAGGAAACATGTAAGGTATCTGAAACTTTGTAAGCCAGAAATTATGGGCTTCACACACTTGCTCCTGATTCGCTCATCTCTCTCTCTTCACGTTTGTCCCAAGGTGCTCTGTTTTGATCCAATATCTTTTTTTGTTAGTTTACACTTGGTCCAATACTTTCGTAAAGTTGAACGTCTGAGTCTCGCTGGAGAATTTTTTCGATGGGCAATCAGACTCCTTCACGATTACACTAAAAGTTTAACAACTGTGGAACTTCGCATAGTTCTTCTAGATCAGTGAGTGTGGCCATCGGGCAAGGGAAAAAGAAGCAACTGACCGCATGTCCGAAGTGTGGGGGCACATGTACGTTCGATGATAAGAACAGTTGGTTGTCTTTGTCCTCTTTAAACTATGTGGCAAAGTTTAACAGCGTTTTTTTTCTCAGAAATTGGGTATTTGAAAACAGAAATAAAACTTTACTGGCACTGCCAGGAACAGTGACTTGAGCAAAGTGTTAAACTTCATTGAACAGCAAAGAACCTTCAACTGAAGCTTGGAAGCATTTCTTGGGGGTGACATAAGAGTCAACAAACTTGGAGGGGGGGGGGGGGGGGTGGTCTTTTTCAAGCAATTGCCATTCCAATTCTTTATTCTGAAGTTGCACAACAACCATATAGTTTGTATTTAGTAGGATTGTATACAGTAGGCTTGCATTAAGTTGTCTTTATTTAGTGGACTCTGCGATTCCTTCTGTTAAATATGTGTATCATTTTCTTACTTTCATTAACTTTTAGTAAATTTAGAAACTTTATCAATTCAGCCTATACACATACATCCAGGTACAGTAAGCACTTGTTATGTTTCTCCAAAGCAGTTTCAAATCATGACGTACTACTGTCCTCGGGACAAGCATTAGGATTATAAAGAACAAAGAATAGAAACGAATCTCTTCAATTCAACTGATAAGGTTATCTAATATCAGTATATCTAATACCGATTACATCGAGATATCACATTGCTAATCCGAAAACTTTGATTTTCATGTTATAATCTTACGGAGAAACGATGAAAATATGGATATGGATTAGGAACAAAGATTCGTTCGAATAACATGTTTTTCAGATTTTATACTCTGTTATCAATTGAAATGAGTGCCGGATTAAATGTGAAGAACATCATGGATTATCTGTGTGTTTCTAAAAATGAGAACAATTTGGGAACAAATTGTGACAGTCCCGTTCAGAAACTGCAAGATGATAACATTCTTACAGATGATGAATACGTTTTGTATTCATGTTGCTGACACAAAGATATATCCAGGATTTTCGTTTACATAGTCCTCCAAATATTTTAGGACATTGTGACCACTGTATATTTTCAGACCCAAGTCAAAAGGTTAAGGTCAGGATAAGAAATTCAAATATTGATGTTCTGAATGATTCCCACTTTTCAGATTTGAGATTTCAAGATTTCACAGTCAATCCTAAACAGCATAATGGATGGCAGGCTCCAGCGCCAAGCTTTTTACAGGATTCTCTTCTTTTCTGTGTACGCGACTAGCAAATTTCAGCCTATAAACACAATTCAATCAAAAGTTGTGCTGATTAGTAATCACTTATTGATGAAATCATACTGAATTGAATGAAAGGTATAAGCCACAAATCCAATAAAATGCAAACCAAAAACCAGGGCAAAAATGGGCCATAAAGATAGTGAAACATAAGACACATTGAAATTACCGTTAAAAATATAATAGAAAGGCACCCCTAACTATAAACTGTGTGACAATTTTCTCGGTTCCTGTAAGAGATATGCAAAAGTTCCACTGATAAAATGTTTATCCTAAAATCACAAAGATTTCATCAGTTGACACATTTTTTATACCTTGCATAAGAATCGAGTTAATTGAGATCAAACTTGAAAGTGTGTGAGAGCTCTTCTATTACAGCTTCTACGGTATATGGAAGTATAGCAGGAACATTCTTTAGAAAACAATGCGAATGAAGAATTGGGTGTTAATAATGTTCAATGACAGACAGGTGAAAAATTTAAATTTTCTAAGTTTACAGGGACGATTGTTTGACAGAAAACAATTGTTAAAAGAGCTCTCAACTTGTTTATTAAAAACAGTGTTTTTGTCACAATAGAAACAATGAACTCTCGAAATTCAGCAGTTGAAGGCAAATCCATTGATTGAAAAGGTCTAAAATTAAATTTATCACAACACCAAAACTTTTTATTACAAAAATCTTAATTCCTGTTGAACCGTTCTCATCATAATGTTTCTTCTTTCTCCTCTTAATTATCATTCAAATCCAAACACACTTTTACTTCCCTTGAAATATCATTTTAGCATGGCGAGGAGAATCCCGTTGAACCCTAATATATTTAATTTAATAGTGCGGCGCCACTCTAAAGCTTTCAGATAGATTGGCGCCGCCAACGCCTGACATACATGGTTGTAGAGCCAGGAACCGACGAATGGCCTTCAGGATTTGATTAACTTTTTAGAGTTAGCATGGCGAGGACAATCCTGTTGTATCGTAAATCAAATTAGAAGTGCGGCGCCACTTTAAAGCTTTCAGAAAGATTGGCGCCGCCGCCGTCTAAACTAAAAGCTTGCAGAATCAGGGACCAACTAGAAGGCTACAAAACTTTTCGATATCTTTTTTGAGTTTCTCAGAATTAATCTTCAGTTTCCTCATAAGTCTATTGAATGAATTTCTTTCGAAGAAACTATCTGTTTTTGAGAATCATCTTTTTTGAGAATCATGTTTTTGATAATCATCTTTATCGTTTCCTCTGTTGCCTTCATTTCGAAATAATTGATGGAAAAGATGAATCGTTGTTTTGCAGTCTCATCTGATTCATTCATTTTACAGTGATTTATCCAGCCCAATGGACAAAAACAAACAAAGCAGTCGTGGCGGATATGCGGATATGCAGCGAAATTGTGTTGATGCGATGATATGCTTGGTGACAGCCAGATGAGAAGGTAAATTTTTTCATTTTGAATGTTTTTGGGGCGCTACCTCGAAATAGAACGTGAGCAAAATAGAACTGTACCAAAATAAAACGAGACGCAAAATAGAAATGCGTGAAAAAGAACTGCCCTATAATTGAACTGTTCTGAAATAGAACTATTCTGGAATAGAACTGTTATAAAGAAAAATAGAACTTTTAAAAACGAAGATAAAAAATATGTTACAAAAAAAAGTGGACATAGATTAAAAAAAAGAAGAATACGTATCATAATCAACTCTTAGCGTAAACAAAAGATCTTAAAGGTGGTTCTTCTGGTCCTTAAAAAAAATTCTGGTCCTTAAAAAAAATTCTGGTCCTTAGAAAAAATTCTGGTCCTTAAAAAAATTCTGGTCCTTAAAAAATTCTGGTCCTTAAAGGAAAATTCGGGTATTTAAATAGTTTTCATGTTTTTGTCTGAAAATTTGGTTAAATTAAAAAATTTATTCATTTCAATTATGTTTTCAATAGTTTTGATGTTTTAAAAAGATTTTTTTTTGTAATTTTAATTTTATTGGAAAGAAGGTTTAAGATTTAAGGTCGTGACATATAAGACTTGAAGAGGAGAAATAGTTTGGGACAGAAATAGTTTGAGAAGGAACCCAGGAAAAAGAATATTGGTAGCAATGAGAGGATCTTATCCGCGTCCGTTGAACTTCTTTCGACCGGTCACATTGGATCTTGGATTAGTGGTAGTGGATCTTGGAACAGAGGTAGTGGGCCGCCCGCGTCTTCTTCTATCATTCCGAGTCTTCTGAGTGGTGATGGTAGTTTGTCTCGTTTCAGGGACAGACGTGGTCCGTTTCGTACGAGGTTCTGTCGTGGTTCGTCTCATCTGATGGAAAGTTGTTCGTCTTGTTCTCATGGTGGTCGTGGTCCTCATGGTTGCTGTGGCTGTGATGGTGGTTGTAGGATCAGCTTTTTGACTTTTTGTCTTCTTCCGAGGTATTCAAGTTTTGGTCGTCGTTTGCCTGGGTGTAGTTGACGAAATTGGTCTGTTGGTTTTACTCATTTCTGGCCTAGAAGAGGTGGTGGTTCTCCCTGATCCTCTTCCTGATCCTCATCCTGCTCCTCTTCTTGCTCCTCTTCTTGCCCCTCTTCCTCTCCATCTTCCTCCTCCTCTTCGTCCTGCTCTTCTTCCTGCTCTCCCTCCTGCTCTTCTTCTGATTATGATGGTTATGACGATTATGATGGTTATGGTGATTACCATGATTATGCTCGGAAGAAAACACAAAGTCGGAATGTTGATCGTACAACCACCATCAGAACCACGTCCGTCAGGAGTACCACGGCCACAATAAGAACAAGGACTACAACTTCCCCTCAAACGAGACGAACCACCATCACCACTCAGAAGACTCGAAATGGTAGTAGAAAACGCGGGCAGCCCAATACCACCACTCCGAGATTCACTACCACCACTCCAAGATCCATTACCACTACTCCAAGATCCACTGTGACCGGTCGAAAGAAGTTCAAAGGACGCGGATAAGATCCTCTCATTTCTAACGATATTCTTTTTCCTGTGTCCCAAACTATTTCCCCCTCTCCTCTTTAGAGGCATTTTTTAAATCTCATATGTCACGACCTTCAATCTTAAACCTTCTTTCCAATAAAATTAAAATTACAAAAAAAAAAATCTTTTTAAAACATCAAAACTATTGAAAACATGATTGAAATGAATAAATTTTTTAATTTAACCAAATTTTCAGACAAAAACATGAAAACTATTCAAATACCCAAATCTTCCTTTAAGGACCAGAATTTTTTTTAAGGATCAGAATTTTTTAAGGACCAGAATTTTTTTCTAAGAACCAGAATTTTTTTTAAGGACCAGAATTTTTTCTAAGGACCAGAATTTTTTTTAAGGACCAGAATTTTTTCTAAGGACCAGAATTTTTTCTAAGGACCAGAATTTTTTTTAAGGACCAGAATTTTTTAAGGACCAGAATTTTTTTAAGGACCAGAATTTTTTTAAGGACCAGAATTTTTTCTAAGGACCAGAATTTTTTTTAAGAACCAGAATTTTATACTAGAGCCCAGCTGTCGTCCTCGCCTTTATGTATGCAATCGGCGGCCGCTTTCTCTCTGCCCGCGTGGCTCAGTCGGTAGCGGCGCCGCACCCTCAATCCTCGCTCCCGCAAGTTCAACTCCTCGAGGGGGCATATTTAAACGGCATTTCGAGAACATTATTTTTTTCATGTCTCCCCACCTTTGAAAAATTTAGATCAGACAAAGGGGCATAGGGAGTTCGTGGAGTATTCTCACTCGAAAGGTAGTGTTCAGAGCAATCTCGGCGGCTCACTCGAAAGGTAGTGTTTAGAGCAATCTCTTTTGACGTATGATTATCTTCGAATTTGATAAGTTCTATTAGATCACACATTTTCAGTGGAGATAAGCCATAACACTTTGTAACAAGTGCATGAAAGGAGCTGTCAGTGTTAAAATGAATAGTGAAAACGGATAAAAAAACATGAAAAAAACACGATCTGTCGCTTACAACAATCACAGTTCTATTTTCCTTTTTAGCAGTTCTATTCCAGAACAGTTCTATTTCAGAACAGTTTTATTTCAGAACAGTTCTAATTCACGCAGTTCTATTTCGGAACAGTTCTAATTCACGCAGTTCTAGTTCAGAACAGTTCAATTATAGAGCAGTTCTTTTTCACGCAGTTCTATTTTGCTCACGTTCTATTTCGAGGTAGCGCCGTTCTTGAAACTCAAAAAGACCCAAATGCCACGTGTTTAATTTCTTGTATACTTCTTTTTGACTGGTCAAACCAACAATAATGCCGAGAGTCTGTTCTCCTTGTGCTCTCCGTCTCTTTTCCCTCTCGGCGAACGTTCCAAGGCTATGACAGTCTCTTATCTGTGTTCTTTCTTACCATTAGCATGCCAACACCACAACACCTCTGTTCCCTCCTGCACTCTTGCACTATTTCTAACTTACTCTCGTTGTCGGTTAGCGCAATAGTAACACACTCTGAACCATCTCCGATTGAGATGTTTTTCCTCATACTCTTTTTTTAATGCCATTCTATCAGTATTTTTTCATAGCTTTGAGCGCTTAACTGAGCAGTTTCAGAAGCGTTTTTAGTCCTCTCCATTTTTTCCACGTTTCACAGTTTCTCGGAGTCTTTTTTAGCAAACTAAACATTGATTGAGCATTTCGCACCGCCTTCGAAAACTTTTCAAAGATGATTTTTATACACCTTCTGCCTTTTGCGATTTCTCATAGACGTTTTTTACAGTAATGGAGTATTGCTCCGCAAACAGTTGTGGTTTCGGAGAGAATTTTGACTCCGGAAATAATTCAGGAAACGGAAAGGATTTTGGTGGAAACGGAAAAGGTCCTCGAAAGATGATGGATATCTGTGGAATCTGTGGGTGTGCGCCGGTGCTTGCCACAAAACTTCCCAACTGCTCCCACCACTTCTGCTACATGTGCATCAAGACGTTGATTGCTCAACAGGATCCTAGTTTCAATCAAAATATGTACCTCTCGTGCCCAACCTGTAGAGCGATGTTCACTCGGAACATCCTTTACACACCTCAGCAGGTCAATGTTCGCCGAGCGCTCCCGTTGGATTATGAGCAAAATGTGCAAAGTGAGTTTTTGGGGAAAATTTTGTTATAAGAAAAACCGTCTAACAAGGGAACCTCAACACCTCACAAACCCAGATTTCGATGAAAATTTCAGGGTAAATCAACAATAGGCAATCTAGACATCTCTGAAAATTATAAAATCCGCCCGCTAGTTTCAGCCAAGTTATATCAGTTTCAGTACCAAAAATCGCCGGTTTAGTGCAAAATCAGCGTATTCAAAGACAATTTTCTCAAGTCCTAGGACGTTTTAAAGCATGAAATTTGTTGTGTTATACTTAAATTTTAATGAAATTTGATATTCAAATTTTTCTCAGGAAAATATTTTTTCAATTTTCGAAAAAATCTGGAAAATCGTGAAAAATTCCTATATAAATTTTTTTTTGTTCTCTAGAAAAAGTT